TCAATTATCTCCCTATTCCAGAATGTCCTCCCCTCAGCTGTCAAGTTCAAATTCCTAAAGAGGTATGACCATATCACCCTCCATTCAGTAAACTTCAGTGTCTCCCTATTATTCCCAGGATCAAATATAATATCCTCTTTTTTTTCTGTTTTTTTTTTTGTTTGGAGACAATCGGGGTTAAGTGACTTGTCCAGGGTCACACAGCTTAATAAGCGTCTGAGGCCAAATTTGAACTCAGGTTCTCCTGACTCCAGGGTCAGCGCTCTATCCATTTCACCATCTAGCTGCCCCTACTGTTCAGCTTTTCAAATCCTTCATAACCTAGCCCAGTCTTCTTACACTTTACTCCCTTCCATACATACTTTTCAAATCCAGCGACACTGGCCTCCCTACCGTTCCTCAAGCAAAACACTCTATCTTCCAACTCCAGGCATTTTTACTGGCTGTCTGGAATTCTCTCCCTCCTCATCTATCTCCTGGCTTCCTTCCAGTCTCAGCTAAAATTTAACCCTCTACAAGAAGCCTTTCCTGATCACCTTCCCTCTGTGTTTATCACTAATTTATCATGTACAGATCTTGTTTGTACATATTTGTTTATACATTGTCTCCAACGAAAGGTTAAATGACTTGGGTGACCTAGACATTATATGTCAGAGGCAGTAACTGAACACAGGTCTTTCTATTTTCAAAGATATCTACACTACACCATACTGCCTATCGTAGCTTACCTTACACAGTTCACCTAACAAAGGAGGAGGCTGGAAGCACAGTCCTGGTGGTTTCCAAAAACCCTAGAACTCATTTCTCGCTATCATTTTTTTCTGATTCCAAGAAGCCTATAATATAGGCTGTTCAAGGTTGTTATTATTTCAAGTCTTGGGCAGGATTAAGCAGACAGATGGGGGAGCACGACCTATCTTCAAATGAGTCCAAATGTTTTGCAAAGACATAAGCCTTGCTCATTGCCAGTCTCAAATAAGCCTTATGGTCAGTATTTCAGGATCCACGTTGCTGGAATCAAAGATAAAATCTCTTTGTCAAATGGAAACTTCTATCTGTGCCTGGTGCATAAAATCTTCACAATCTGATTGATCTTTAAGATCTCAGATGATATCCCAGGTGCTTCTGCCCATTTCTGCTACAATGTTTTAAATTTATTCTGATACAACATTTATGCATGTACCTTTGAATATGTGTAGATACACAATTGAGATCATTTGCCCCAAGAGCTCAGGACCTTTCTTTTCCTTATGGACTTTTATGACTCAGTGGGATTAAAATATGAATCGGTGGATATTGTAGAGGCCCAGTGGATAGAGTGGTTTTCCTGGAGTCAGGAAAACCTGAGTTCAAATCCGACCTCAGATACTTACTAGGCATGTGACCCTGGGTAAGTCACTTAACCCTGTTTGCCTCAATTTCCTCATCTGTAAAATGAGCTAGAGAAGGAAGTGGCAAACCACTCCAGTATCTTTGCCAAGAAAATTCCAAAAGGGATCACAAAGAGTCTGCCGCAACTGAAAATAACTAAACAATACAGCAGTAGAGAGTTCTAAACTCTTATCCAGATCCACAGTGGATAGAGCAATGGGCCTGCAGTTCGGGAGACAAGTACAAATCCAGCCTCAGACACTTATTAGCTCTGTGACCTTGGACAAGTCACACTGTTTGCCTCAGTTTCTTGAACTGTAAAATGGGTACCTACCCTGGAGGGTTATTGTGAGAATCAAATGAGATAATATTTGTACAGTGCTTAGCACAATGCCTGGCTATATGAATGCTAATTTCCTTCCCCTTCTCCAAAGAGTAATAATGGACAAATTCTGTTTGGCAATTCCCTTCCGCAAAATGTCAAGTACAATAATGACCATCTCAAAGAGAAAGCAGAGGTCAGGAGTACCTGATTTGCTGCAAAACAAAATAGTATAATAACTCTTTCTCTGCCTTTTAACTCTACTAGGTACTCAGAAAAAAGAAACTTTTAGAACCAGCAGTGCACATTTTTTCAGCAAAATCTGCATGAGATATATACTTAATAAATTTAATAAGGCCATAATCCCACAAAACAATAAATATAAAAGAATTATTCCTTATTCCCATCTATAGAAATAGAAGAGAGGAAAGAATCCTGAGCCAGTTCAGGTACTACTACACTTACATAAAACTAGTCATGTGAGGGCACTTTCTGACAGTTATCATATGAAAAATAAATAGACCTATGCAGGAAAGCTTTTTTTTTTTAAATGCTGAGGCTATCTCTTTTGCACTAAATTCCTAAAACACATGATTTCTCCTTAGCTTAATGGTGGACTAAAATGAGGCCAATAAATAGTCACCTAAAATAATGCAAACTAAATGATCTGATCTGAGGAGTCCTGGCACATACCAGTGCCAGCCCTTCAGACACTCAATTACAAAAAAAAAGGCTTCTCTCATACCTCAGCTTTCTTACCCTAAAGATGGGATCTAAGATATCAGGGGAAAAAGGAGTTATATATTTTTTCCAGTTGTCCTATTGCAACAATGGACAATGGACATTCTATAGACAATACTCAACATGGTCATATTAACTATTTGTAACATCCTAGCGTCTCTCCTTTATACAAGAAGGAGAATTGAGCAAGGGCAAATATGGGAAACAAACTCTGGACCAATACATTTTTAGCCTTGGCTGTATAGTTCATTACTGAATAGTACAGACTTTAAGGGTTCAAAAGGTAAGGATTTCCAACCAAAAGATCTGCATCAGAATCTAATAGTCCACTGGAATTAGTCAACAAGATTCTTAGATGGCTACTTCTCCCTGTGTGACTTACTCAGATATCAAATACATCCCTCAAAATACTGAAAACCGAAAGTATGAGTAAGATACCACCTCATACCCATCAGATTGGTTAAATGACACAAGAGAAAAATGGAAAATGCTAGAGGGGAAAATGCATGTGGGGAAAATAGGTACACTAATGCACTGTTGTGGAGTTTTGAACTAGGCCAATCATTCTGGAAAGCAATTTGGAACTATGTCCCCAAAAGTTATTAAACTTTTAATTTAATTTAATTTAACTTTTTTTTTTATTAAATGAAGGGTCCTAGGAGCACCCCTTTGACTTTACTAGGTCTATGCCCTAAAGAGATCAAAACAAAAAGGAAAAGGACTGGTATGTGCAAAAATATTTATAGCAGCTCTTTCTGTGGAGGCAAAAAATTGGAAACTGAGGGGATGCCCACCAATTACAGACTGGCTGAACAAGTTACAGCATGTGAACGTGACACAATATCATTGTGCTGTAAGAAATGATGCAGAGAATGGTTTCAGAAAAGTTTGGGAAGACCTAAATTAATTGATGCAAAGTGAAGTGAGCAGGAGTAGAACAATTTACACAGTAACAAAAATATTGTAAAGATAATTACTGTGAATTTACTCTGATCAACATTTTGACTCACCATAGTTCAAAGGACTCATGATGAAAAATGCTATCTCCTGATGGAGAATTGATGGACTCAGAGTGCAGATTGAAACATATTTTTCTCTCTTTTTCTTGTTTTGTTGTTCCCAAAACATAGTTAATGTAGAAATTTGTTTTGTATAATTTCATATCTGTAATGGATTTTGAATTTTCTGCTTTATCTCATTTTATTTTTTAATAATATTTAATTTTTTCTCCAATTACATTCTCTAATGTAAAAACAAATTTTAGCATTCTTTCTTTTTTTAATTTTGAGTTCTAAATTCCCTATCTCCCTCCCTTCCTCCCCTTCCTGAAACAGTAAACAATCACATAGGTTATACAGATACAATTATGTAAAACAAATTTTTTGCCTTCTCAATGGATAGGAAAAGGGGTAAGGGGAGGGAGAGAATCTGGAATTGAAAATAAGATAAAAATGAATTTTTAATAATATTAGAATAGCAATCTGAACAAAATGTTGGAGAAGGTAAAGCTTGAAGCTCAGCTCTGTTATGTAGTCCTCACCTTGCTTCACAAAATAAATATTAGGCAGAGATCCACTCAGTCCCAGAAATGACCTATCGTTTTAAGACAGTAATATGAAATAACTGCCACATATGTAGCGCCTTTCTTCTAAATTAAGACCCCCACGTGCTTTGCAAATTAACTCCTCACTCACTTCTGAAATTTATATTTGAAACTGTCCTAAAAAAAAAACAAAAAAATCCCCAAACACTCCTGTGCGACTGCTCTCCATTCTTTTTCAGAACTACTGGCCATTAGAAACTGTCATCTCAGGCCTGAGAAAATACCTCACGCAGTTTTACGTGCAATTTTATATATGGGTAGGAGGTGTAAGGAAAGGGATGTAAGATGAAATACCAAAGTCTTCTAGCAGTCAGTACTGGCAATAGCTGTGTACTGACTTACGCAGAGAAAGACAGAAACCATAGTCTTCCCAAATAGCTAAGAAACAACCTCAGGGAAGTGGGTGGCAGACATGCCACACACCATTGTTTCAGGTACAAATGCCTTAGTTTGCTGAACTAACTGGGCTGGATCTGGGGGCCTCGGTTTCTATATTACTCCACCACACCCAGGCTCTGTCTATTTCAGAAACTGGGTTTCCTTTAAGATTGAGCCTAAAGAAAAGATCTCGGTAGCTATAAGTGAGGATGGCCCGTGTGCTCAATTCTGCCTCCAAAAGGAGACACCCCTAGTTGTACTCAGAAGGGAGGGCATAAAAGGCATAGGCACTTTCTTTGGGGGAGAAGAATTGAGAAGTGAGGGGAAGGAGGGAAATAAGACGGCTAGAACCTGCTTAAGTCCCCTAACCCCAAGATGGAAAAGGGACAACCCAAAAGGCCAAAGACTAGACTGAAGAAGATGCCTGGACTCTGGATGCAAGCTTGGTATCAACAAAAGGGCAATCCGAGGAGAGAGCAAGAGGGTCCAGACAAAAGATGGGAAAAGAGAGTTCGGGCCAACCGGAAGAAGGGAGCGGGGGCCGCACCCAAAGGAGCCGGGCGTACCCGGTGTCTGCATCCATACCTGCCTCTCTTCCTCCTCCTCCTTTCCTGCCCTCTCCCGAGGCTCCTCTAGCTCGTACGTTGCGAGTCCGCGCGTCTGCACCTCCTCGGCGCCCGCGGAGGGCCGGGCCAGCTTTGGAGGAGCAGGAACCTCGGAGCCCCGGGGCGCACGGGCCTGGCCCCGCCAGAGCCACAGCGAGGCGAGCAGCAGCGCCAACGCGGTCCCCCAGAAGGGCAGCGCGGCCAGCAGCTCCGCCAGCGCATCCATCCCCCGCCCGGGCCGCAGGGCAGGGGTCCCGGGCTTGGGGGCCTGGATCCCGTCCCACCTCGAGGCGGAGCCCAGGGGCGGGCGCCGGGAGGGGGGTGGGGCGGGGACTGCGGCCCCTTGCGCGCTCCGGGACAGAATTCCGGCCGCAGCGTGGCGGGCCTCTCCTCCCCGGCGAGCTCTGCGTGCGCCCACGGTCTCGTTCCAGCCTCCGCTCTCCGTGAGCCCCGACCCCTTCCCCTTCAACGTGTTCAGGCCTCCGCACCCCGAAGAGTCGGGTAAACCGCGGCCTTGGGGACCCAGGCGCCGAAAGCTGTCCGGGATGTATCACAAGGCAATTTTCCTCCCACTGTTTTGACTTGATAGGTGTCAGAGGAGGGTTTCGTGGTTAGGGTACCCACCAGCGAGTGACATAGACCCTAAATGTTCAGAACCTTACTGGCTGTGCTCTAGGGCCCACGGCCACTCAAGCTGATACCCCAAGAATCAGGTTCAGTAGTCTGAACTATAGGATCATACATAGTTCAAAAGCTGGAAAGGATCATGAAGGCCATCCTGTCTAAACTGCCCCCCTCCCCATCATTTTACAAAATAGGGAAATTGAGGCCCAAGGAGGTTGAGTGATTTAGGCTCCTAGATGTTGCTGTGGATAGAGCAATGTACTTGAACTCCGGAAGTCCCAAGTTCAAATCCTGCCACACTGATTAGCTGTGTGAACCTGAGCAAGTCACTTAACCTTTCTGTGCCTGTATTCTCACCTATAAAAATGAGAATAATAGCACCCGCAATGCAAGCCTTAAAGTGTTATAAATGCTATTATTAGTATTATTATTATCGTCCAAGGTCATACAGACAGCATCAGAGGGGAATTGAACCCCTAACTACAGAGTTAGTGCTTTTTACTGTACAGCTGACAATTTCATTTATTCTAAGAATACTTTTTGGCAAAGAAGATGCTAGGCAAAGCTCAATAAGGGCTAAGAATAATCAGACATAGTTTCTAAGCAGTCAAGGAAGGGCAGAAATCATTCCTAACCAAAATTGTCATTGCAACATCCACTGAGATATTGATAAAGCAGTTCTTGTACTCTATAGAATTACAGCATCTGCGTGAATAGCTATCATTTGATTTTTGGCAGCACTATAGCAATTGTTGTTCCACCATGTTGGCTTCAACAACAGGCTTCAGGGTAATACCAGTTCTCACAAAACTCAGCAGTGGTTTTTGGAATTTGGCCCTACTTATCCACAATTTTAGTCAACACACATCATTTCATCCCTTGACTGGTTTCTTTCCACAATTCCTGAATGGGGGAAGTAAAATTGAAGGCATTTCTTCAGTGGCCTATAACATTAAATTGACCGGTCTTGAGTCTTGCACAGAAGTAAATTAACATTCATATCTACCTGCTTTAGTGAACACCCTCCCCTGAATTAAGACTTTATAAATACATTATGATGAAAGTAACGTCATCCTGTGTAGAACAATATGATTTCCATTTTTACATCAAATTGCATCTGATGCTATCTGGCAAATTACAGTCTGAATTAAATTGGACAAGATTTCAGGATGTGGTGATGGTGGGGGGAATATAAGGTAGAAATGGAGTTGAAAAACATAGGCTCAAGGCATGGAACAAATCTTGTTGTTACTTACATCCTAGTTGTTGACTGATCAATGCAGCTAACATTCTCGAGGACCTAAACCAGGTAAATTCACCTCCAAAATTTCCTCTCTTGGTACAGTTCCATGCAAAGTTGAGATGTGCACCTCCTCTTATTGGGAGCTAATACACAATGCTTTAGGACAAGAGTACTAGATTACAGGTTATCCTAATCCAAAGCAATTTTAGGTCTGTATCTTGTGGTGTAGCCCACACGTGATACTAGTCTTCAGACTTTAATTTTATATTTGGAGGACAAATAAACAGCAATTGCATTGTATGAACCTAAATGAATAATGAAGGGAAGCAAAGAAAAAACCTAACCCTAAGTTAATATTTTATTTAAAATAAGGAACAAATTTAACCCAGGTAAGCCAAGAAAGTTCTGATTGATGTGGGAGGATGAATAGAGAGCAATTACATTTCCTCTTTAGTATCCTGTCACCATGGAGAACTTATGGGACTGCTAATTCTTATTAGAGATCTGAGGGTTACAGCACGGCCAGGTGGGTGGTGGTGAAAAGAATTTTTTTCTGATAGATGAACTTTGGCCATAGCTCGACCAAACACTGTCTTAGGGCACTACCATAATAAGCACAAAGACCCCAGGGCACACACTGACTGCTGCTTGCTGCTGACAGTTTATAAATGCCATGAAATGGGAAATCAGGTTCTTGCAGTGTTACTTTCTATACAATACATATTAAATGTGATGTTAAAACAAAACTTGAAGAAATTGTTTTTCAGTACTATATATGAACTTAAATGACAGGCAATGCTTTCACATTAACTTTAGCTTTAATATGCCTAACATGGACTAATATGCTCCACTTAACATGTATAATCAATATCAAATTGCTTGCCTTCTCAAGGAAGGGGGAGGGACAGGAGAGAGAGAATTTGAAACTCAAAATTTTAAAAAGTTATTTTAAAAAATTTACATGTATTTGGAAAATATTTAACAAAATAAATGATTTTTTAAAATAAATTTTAAAAATGTCCTAATCAATCACAAGGCTTTTGCTCTTTAGCTAGTAGGCAATAGTATGTAACTATCACTTTTTGTCTGATCCTCAGGCTAAATGCTTATAACATTGTTCTCATTGTCCAATTTATAAGCTCAATCCCATGTTAGCTTTTTTTTTAAATATAAAAAGTGATCATACTTTCAGTAGGGCTCATTTCTCTTTTTCCGGTAGTGCGAACAGATTTGCACACATCTATCTATTGTGACTGGTGTCCCTTGACAATGGTCTAGATACTAGCTTCTACACTTTTACCATTTAGCAAAAAAATACTACCACAATTTGAGTACCTCCAGGTGTAGACTAAAATCTGAATAACACCTCATTTACAGCTGATCTACATTCAGTGTCAGATAAATATATAACCCTTTTACTACTGATTGGTACATGAGGCAAGGGTTGGACTGAAGATGAAATAGGCTGCAACCTCTTCCCAAAGGGGTGATAGACTTAAAAATGAAGAATGGGATGTTCATTTTTATTTTTGGACATGACAAATGTGGGGATTTGTTTTGCTAGACATTTGTTTTGAGGGTTTTTTCAGTTTAAAAAAAATTGTTCAATAGTAGGAGAAAGGGAAAGTGACAATAAAAATAAAATATTTTAAAAATTCAACAACTTTGCCTAGAGTTAGTAAACCTGGCCTTTGGGAACCCAAAACATGAAGGAATCTTGATGTCTTTGTGCTGTTCTTTAACTGCCTGGGAGCTTACTGCAGCATCCTCTGTCCTATCCTTCCTAGCAGGACTTTCCCCTTCCCTTTCTTCTCCTCTCCCTCCCCACCCCTCAACATTTACAATGTCTGTGTTCCATTTTCTCAATTTCCCTTGTCTCTGTTTTCCAAGATAACAGCTAAATGGCCTATGCTATTTGTTTAGTAGGAAAAACAAAATGAAAGAAATTTCAAGTAAGATAACAAACTAGTAGAAGGTGGTTACCCCCGTTGATGGAAAAGTATTTTATTTACTGATAATCAGTTTTTATTTTTAAATAAATGTAGATGGGGATTTAGTTGGTAGGGAATTAAGTAGAAGGTATGTAAAAAGGCAAGTACAACTACTAGAAATGTGGAAACAAGGTAGTGTTTATGGTATTTAAGAGCGTTATTAGATATCAAATACAAAGTCAGTTTAAATGACCAATGATTTACTTCATCCACAAACATTCACAGTTAAAGGTTATCCACTCATCTCTAGGTATTGCAGTATATTCCATGTAATTAGAAGGGACTGCAGCAGCATACCATGGCTTGGAACTCAGGTACCAAGAAGCTTGCAGGGTGACATATCGATTCCCTCATTGCCCAACATGAAACAGTATCCATTGGAATCCACCCCTACTCTAGCAACTGTTCAGCAAACATCAACTTTAACAGAAGAACCAAGCTTACACAGGAAGAGCTGATCATCCTCAGAATAAAGCCAGAGTGGTCCAATAGTAAAAGTAATTAAGACAGCTACAAATCTAATATTTTACAGTAAATGACCTGAATTTCTTATATGAATACCAACTTTTTTGGACACCCCTAGTTCCCAAGTGCTGAGAAGCATTCAAACTATTCAAAACTTACAGAAAGTTTGTTTCATGAAACCAGATAATGCTAATACACACACAGAAAAAACTCCACTGACATTGAAAACATTTTTGTGAATAGATAGTATTTTAAAACAAAATGGTTCCTTTTATTGCCCCATATTCTTCTCCCTTCCTCATTTCTTACACTACTTGAACACATCACACATAGGGGACAGGTTAAGGCAAGTAGATGAATCAGCAGAGGGGAAAGATGGAATCTGCTGGTCAGTCCCAAAGTAATATGTTGGTGTTACATTGCAACTGTATGAAAATCGACTCCAAAATACTTGAAGAATCAAATGGAAAAAATAATCAGAATTTAGCCCACATACCTATGGATTTTTTGGCGGAAGGGATTTTGTTAAGGTTGGAGCAAAATGTTGCTGGTCTGACACTTATCTGCACTTCAGTAAGTTAGCAAAAATCCTATCTTGAACAGAAATTTATTCATTCAATAATCATAAAGTCAACTCAACTGAAAATTAATGTCTCTAGTTACCTTCCATGACAGTCAAGGAAGTTTCCTTAACGTTGATTAAATGTAAAGTTGTAAATAGGAAGACAATAGCAACCCTAGTTGTCTTTATACAAATCATTTTTACCTTCCTTAAGTAATGGAAAAGAAAGCATTGAACCTTTTTACCCAATACCACATTAGCCTTGAGAACTCACGAAGCTTTTAGGCTTCTTAATCTTTTCTTAGATTTTCTCACCCTTTAAGCAGCATTTGATGGAAGACAGAAGCTTGGACCAGAAATGAGCTGTCCAGATTCAAAGAAGATTAAGAAGTAGGTAGAAGCAGAGGAGGTGAAAACCGGATTGGGTGGCTGCTAACACGGCAGCCACCTCTAGACGAATCTCATGGGAATGCTCAGGAATGAGCACAGCCTCCAAAAGTTTCCCTAATCCTGCCAAGGAAAAGTACAACTGCCTAAATCAGTATGTTGACAACACAAGTTTGAGAAAAGCTAAAGGAGATGGCTAATTACAGAATAGTTGATGCCCTGTATCACAGGTACTTAAAGCTTAGATTTCTTAAGGCCTGGACTTGGGAGATGGGAGTAACATATTACAAACCAATAAATATAATAAAGTGCTCAACAATCAATTACAACTTTAGCATGGCTCAAAGCATAACAAAGACAGGAAAGAAGAAGTACAAGATTACAAAAGGGACAACTATATAGTTAATTTTTGATAATGACAAAACAATATCTGTAAGTGACAGGGCCAACTCAAGAGAATTCTCACTAAATATTCACCTAATTTTTAAAAAGTCAACTTTCTCATGGAATTTCAGTCTCACAAGTGGAAAGTAAGATAAATGTGTGGTTTCTAGAGTTTTTATAGTTTAGGGGAAAAAAATAAAAGATGGCACAAATTTCACTGGCAAAAAGAATTTCAGTGACAAAAGTTATAGACATTTAGAAATTTTAGCATTTTGACTCCATAACATGCTTCCTAACCACTCCAAAACTCCTAAATACTTTTGACATAAACATATTCCAAGTTGAACAGGAGGAAAGGGACTTTAGTTTTTCCATGATGTGCAAAGAGAGAAAGAATAATTCTTTTATTTCAAATTGTGACCATATAACAAATGGTCTAAGGGCTGTGAACTGCTTTTCTCATGTGAAGCAGCTGATGTTGCTGCTGGCAGACAAAGCTGAAGGGTGAGGTATAGGGGGAAGGGGAGGGTCAAGACAGCAGTAGAGCAGCCCGAGCAAGAAACTTCCACTCCCTAATCCCTTATTTGCCTGGCTGCTTTCCATAAGCAACGAGGACCTGTAAATTCCAGCAGCAAAGGGAAGGAAACAAATCTCAAGTCAACATTCCTCTAGTACCATGATAAAAGGGCACCAGGGGAAGGTTCTGATAGACTAAAGGCAAGAAACATTTGAAAGTTATAAAACGGATTCCATTTTTATTAAATAATGCGAATGTTTTTCTTGGCACCATTCAGACATCGGTTCTTAGCTTCTTTTGGAGAACAAACCATGTTAATTTGAATTGGTGGAGGAGAAGGCCATTTAAATCAACTGGCAAACAGATTCACATTTGAGGGCAGTCCTCAAGTTGTCTGGCATTCTTGTCCCTCACCTCATCTGCAGGATCCAATGGGACTCCCTACCCTCACCCTGTCAGCTCAGTGTGAGCACGTCCTTTAAAATCAACAGCAATCCCACTCGGTCACCTGGAGGAGCTGCGTTCTTTGCTCACACAGTCATCCTGAGAAGTGGTGTCACCATTGCCCATCATACTGCAGGTCCTCCTCTTTTTCCTCCTGTGCACTGTCCCATCAGCTTCAGAGCCAGATTCACACTTAAATGTAAGGTGAAAAAACAAATTTAATATGGTACACATTCAATTTTTTCAATAAGCTCCTCTATCCTCAGGAGACAAACAATTCAAGCACTTTTTACCTAGTAGAGTCATTTTGGAGCTATTCTATAACAAAACTCTTTGGATGTTTCTGGTTGCTAGAAGGCTTACAATTATCCTCCATCTAAATTTTCCTTTATTGTAAGTACATTTCAATATTTTAAAACATCATTTCAGCAGAGATACTTCTTCTATTTATGAATATTTTAATTATTCAATAGTAGGATATTTATTGCTCTACCCCCCACCCTCCCCTCTACCTCATTCCCACATCCAACAAAAGAACAAAAACTTAGGAGGAAACCTTCCAGTGATAAGCCTCCTTAAACTTAGCTAAGCTAGTCTTTGAGTGAAAGATATAGTTTAGTGCCAAGCATTACACTACAAATTTTTCAAGTTTGGCAGGGCCTATGCAGAACCCCTCCCCCTACCCCACGTTCCATGCTCTTCTAGCATGTTCCTTGAAAACTCAGTTCAACCTCACATCATTAGAAGATTAGAACTTAGAGGAACTTATTTAAGATATGATTTTTAAGACATTTATACAACCCATTGCAATGGGGAAACTCCAAAATTTTAGTCCCATAACAAGAGAAGCAAAAAAAAGCATGAAATCGAGGTTTTTAGTTTATCTTAAAAAGAAAGAAAATACTAAGTAGGTTACTCAGTGATACGAAATGACAGAAATCTCTACATAAAACATAAGTACCTAGTCCATCAGATTTTAACTATATAAAATGTGCCACTGTCTCTGCCTTATTGTAGTTATCATCTTGAGGAAAGCTTTTGTTCTAGAAACCTACTGGAATGGGCAATGACTTCTGGAGGAATTAGACAAAGATCCAAATCTATAAACTTCCCCAAAATATCCTTGCTAAGAGAAGGAAAGAGATATCTTTCTGACCAAGAAACATCAGATTTCCTGGTAAGCCTTACCTCAGAATCAGAGTCAGATGAGCTAGAGCTGGAAGAGCTGGAGGAGTCACTAGAACTGTCAGAAGCAATGCCTGTGGACTCTTGGAGATCAACGGAATCAGCAAGGACTGCCAGTTCAGGGTGTTCTTGCTTCAAAATCCTAAGAGATGAGAGACCACGTTTGTGCGGTTTTAACAAAGAGCAATGATGACAAAAAAGGATGCAGGGTTAGAGTTGAAACTTAAGACACCTTGAACCGAGGAATGCCAATATATACTCTATGTCAGAGGGAATTTTTTGATAGTGGTGAAGTCACAGACCAAAGCAGAAGTTAGGGCGCAAAAATTTATGCTTTTATGAGATTGCTTGTTTAACCAGCTACATACACCACTACATTGCACTGTAGGGAAAAGAGCCAAATGGACTATACTGGTGAGGAAGTTTTTTGGCATTAGAGAAGAAAACAAGAAGCACAGGGAAATTAGGTTTCCTGATAATTTCACCTTTCCACAGCACAGCATTTAAAGGCCTGACACTGATTTGGTTAAATTTAATTTTGACTGGGGAAAATTAGCCATATAAGAAAAAGGAGTTATATGTGGCAGATTGATATCCTTCCTTTTTTTGAGGGGGTTATCATTTAGAAAATGATAAAGTACTAAACAAGGGCAGAAAGCTCAGAAATTGGATTAAAGAGAGCCTTCTATCTTAGAAAAGTTGGTCTGACACCCACATTAGTGGATGGCAAAAATCCCACTCTCTTTGGAGGACTTCTGGATAGCCTGTCTCACACCTTGCAGTGGCCTATATGAACAGAGTCAATGGGTCTCAGCCCTCTGAGGTACCCAAGAATCCAAGGAAGAACAACAAAAGCCACCACCCTTGCTGGCCATCTCAGCAGGGAAGCTGAGGGCTGAGTGAGCCAGAATCCCCCTCTTACCCCGAGTGCTGGTCCCTCCAGGTCAGGGTTGGGACACAGTGGCACGGGGGTGGCTTGCACTGCCGCTGCCCGTGCTGTATCTGTTCTGTGGATAAATAGAGGAGCTAAGTCTCCAGGGCAGTCACCCCACAAGAATTGAAGGCAATAGTTCAAATGGGAATAATGCTTCTTGGTAATTAAAAAAAAACAAAACAAAAAACCAAAAACTAATAAGCTCATTTTCCCAGTTCTAATTTAAAAATAAAATGAAAACAAAACAAAAAAAAAAACAAAAAAAATACATTCCTGATCCTAAGCATGCACAAAAAATTCTAGCCAGACATCCTTAGAAGTAACTGATTTTGGACCCAACCCCAAATACTTTTATTGAAGTCCCAACTGTTCCCAGGCCTATTTAATATGGATGTATTTTGCTTCAGCAACGAGGAAAGAAATCTGGGCTTTTTCCGTTTAGTTTTCTGGAGAGATGTGTTCATGGAAAAAAGAAAAATCTGACGCTTCTCACCTGTACCATTTCCTTGACAACTTTGGCCTTCCTCTCACTGTCTTGTGCCACACTACAGGGAAATTAGTGCTGCTGGCAAAGTTTTGGGTGATGGCAATAGTGGTGTCAAGGTTGAGAACAACATGCCACCAACCTCCTGAAATTCAAAAAACATTGTCCATCCGTTAAACAGAGATGTCACATTAGCTAGAGCATCAAGCTACTTCTGTGTCAGAAATTCCTGAATTTTGATTTGCTGCACTGCTATAGAGCTTTATTCATTCTGTCACGTAAAAACTTTTGTTTTTGGGGAAAATTTATTTTTTACTGAAAGGGATTCATTCCCTATATACATCAACAATTTTGGATGGTTAAGTTAACTAGGTCCTTGTGCCACATTTAGGGCATTTTAGCAATGCTCCTTAGGTTTCAAGGGTTGCAATTTCCTAACAAACGACTTGAAAAAGTTTAAAAAATATCCTTGTTGTCACCTTCTCTGCCTGCCCCTGACCACATAAAATTGTACACAAATATCCCAGTTTTCAATCAGCACAACTTAGTCATTTCTCTGCACTGCTATGTCCTCACTCTGCATTGTTGCAGAGGCTGCTCCAATGCCTAGAGAAAGCACTCCCTCTTCACCTTTCAGATTTTTTAGAATCCCAAGCTTCCCCTAAAGCTAGACTATGTGTCACCTTGTATCATAAGGTCTTTCCTGACCTCCTTGTCAGTGTTCATTCTCTCCTCAAATTATCAAGTATATATTTATATGCTGCAACCTCTCCCACAGAATGTAAGCTTCTTAAGGACTCTTGTCTTTGCACACTTAGGGTCTAGCTCAGTTCCATTTGTCTATAGCTTATAGAGTAAGCACTGAATAAATGCTTGTAAGACAAATAAATCAGTTCAGCTATAAGTCTCTGTGCAGTACCTTCAGTATTATCAGAGAGTCCCTATATAAGTATATTAGTATTTCTTACAAATAAAAAGTCACAGCAGGTTTCAAAAATGGTTGTGTGTTTGATAATGAATAAAAAGCATTTATTAAGTACTTACTACATACAAAATACTGAGGATACAAATAGAAAAGTTGTCTTTCCTACTCTCAATCAAGATCACATTCTATTCTAAGTGATATACTTCTCTAAATTTAGCTAAATGGGTATTTGATTCACAGAGACTTACTTAAGTGCCCCATATTTTCAAAAATAGGTACTTATTCATCATTTATCATGGGTACATAGGGACATTTGGTTAAGTTTTGCTTTAATCTGCTTAATTTTATATGTGCTAAATCTCCTGTGATTTTATTTTATTTTTTTACCAGTCTATTCATACCTGGTACAAAGACAGTCTCTCCTGGTTTCTGTAAGATTTCTAAGGGTTTGAATTCTGGTGGCCAAGTTGGAAGTTGTGTCCGGGGATAAATGGTATTGAACCAGGTAATAGCCTCATCTTGTTGGTTTCCACCTTCATCACGAGTCACCTTTATAAGTTCCCTGGGAGTACTGGTAGGAAATAGGCACCAGCGTTTGTGTCCTTGTACTAAGGCATTCCATGCACTGGTACCCAAGGGATCAATGTGAATTCCTGTTCCAGATCGTGGCGGCCCCATTACAAACCACCTACAGTAAGAAAAAAAACATCTAAATATGGGTAGTGTGTAAAAATTTCGATCATTCAACACACAGACAATATTCATTTTAAGATCGGGAAGTTTTTCAAAACTTATGACAGTTCAAAGCAGTATTTAATGTGGTCTGTTACTCACATTTTATCAAATATCTGGAATGTGTAGAAGAGTGTTAAAAGAATATCTCTCCTTTCCCTTGCTTCTATGGAGATCACAATTCAAATATTTAAGTGCCAATTGGGAGCAAGGCACTAAGGAAGAGTTAAAATACAGTCTCTGTTTTCAAGGAGCTTACAATCCAGGGGGAGAACAAAGACATAAACTTAAAACAGTATCTCCCAAAATAACTCAAGGAGTTATGCTTAGAAGAAAGAATGGCTGTTTAGAACAAAGCATGTTACTTGACCAAAGTCTATAAAATGATGAATACTCAGATTAATTTAAATGAAATCACTCCTAATCATTATATCAAGGTACATAAGATGAAAGAGAAAATAAAAGAAGAGTTTTCAGACACTGATGCGACAGGGGAGACACTCCCAATTCTCCATTAGGATCGGGACTAGACCTAAGATTTCACTGGTATACAGAATTCCCACTGAGGAAACTTCTATCAAATAATGTCCGCACCTTCTCTGCAACTTACTGTCTTAGAGTTGCCCAGAGCACTGAGAGGCTAAATGAAGAGCCCAGGCTCACAAAGCAAGTATGTATCAGAAGCAGAATACTCCTAGGGTTCTCCCCTAGACAAGGTCTTAATTTAGCCTATGTTTCCGTTTAGGGATAGTTCTGGAACCAGGCCACTGACAAAATCCCTACTTGTCTTCTGGAATAACATCCCTTACTCTTGCAAATAAGGTTTTAAAATTAAGTTTCCCTTTTCCTACTGATAATCTTATGCCCCGAGAAGGGTGTTTATCCAGAGATTTTTGAGGCTTTTATGATACGTTGTCTGTCTCTAGCTGTTGAAAATAACATGTGACTAACCAAGGAGAGGGTTTTCTTTTGAAGAAAACCTTCCCCCCAAATAAGTAAACCTCTTTAGTCATATGTATTGAAAGAGAATAAATTATATACTAGACCAAATTCAAAGTTTTTGGTTCAAATCCTGGCTCGGTGACTTACTGCCCCTGTGAAGGCAAGTAACTTAACCCTTCTGGTGCCAATTTCCTCACCTGTAAAAAGGAAGATGGACTAGATAACTTCAATATAAAGTCCCTTTCACTTCTAAATCTACAATCCCATCTCAACCACACCCTTTCTAGACCCTTTTACCCCATCACCAAAAACAAACAAAACAAAACAAAAAAACCACTCCAGAGGTTTAGAGGAAAGCACTTAATAAATGTTTGATGAATTTAAAGCTATCATTTAAGACAATCAACTTTAAATAATCAGTCCAATTATTCACTTGGAATTTTATTATCTTTCTACCTGGTTGCTAGTATACTTAGAAGTTAATTTACTTGTTTGGGTGAAGGCAAGATAAAGAGAAGACTGCCTGAAGCCTGGTCAATACTAATGCTTGTCAACTGTTCTGGTAATGGGTTGAAAATGGCCAAATTAAGCTCCTGGCAACTATGAAAAACTGTGGCTGTGATAAAATTTTAGTAACCCAATAAAATCTACGAGTATATTGAAAACTGGGTAGTCTACCTGTAAGGTGGCCTGCGCTTTTCTCCTGCATACTGGAACAGGTCATCTGTGAAAAATTTGGGAACCTTATAGTCCTCCAAAAGTTTTCTCCTCTTAGGGTGCTCCCCATAGCTGCTATCAAAGATGTAAAGGGGACTATCATCTCGGGTGCTTTCCATGTATTCAATGTAGTACTTCATCTTCATCTTCACGGAATAGCCATCATTATCCTCCCCACACTTAAACTTCTGGTTCCTGTATTTGCGTTTCAGGCGCTCCAGAGTCCATTTCTCCTGGGCTGACCAGCCCTCCTGGGCTTTCAGCAGGACCACGGGCTTGTAGGGCCTTTCATAGCGCTCCACAAATTCTTCTACAGAGAGCTGCAAAGCATCCACTCTTTCCACGTTATCCTGAAAACGTTATAACAGACACTGCGGTTAAGCGGGAGAGAAAAAAAAAGTTGACAAAATGCGGATATGCCCCAGGGGCCGATTATCCGTCACTTAGGTCACATTCCTTTCTCTCCCGGCGCCTGGGAGGAAGCCTTCCTACCCGGGGGTCCTACCTCCCCGCCCCGCAGTGGCTGCCTCGAACCCGGGCTCCTTCGCACGTGGGGTGCCGCAGCCCCTTGTCAGCGGGGTCTCACCCCTCCCCTCCCGGCCAAACTGTCCGGCGGGAAGGTGACGTCTGCCCCGGCTTCCTGGTCCTCCTCAAGGCCGCCCCCGGGGCACGGGCCCAGGCGGGTCCGGCTCCGCGCTCCTCCGCCGCGGGCCCGGGGGGGAGTCCAGGGGACTCTCCGCCCGCTCAGGCAGGCTCCGCCCCACTCACAGAGCAGGGGCCTTGGGCTGCAGCGGGCCTCCCACCCTCACCCCGCGGGACCCCGGCTGCACTCACCGCCACCGCGGCGGGGTTCAGCGAGAAGCTCTCGAAGTAATTGTGTCGGGTCCAGTCTAGGGAGTCTTTCAGCTCGGGCCGCGCGCTGCGCTTCGCCTCCCGAATCCGCTTCTTACTCTTGTGGTTCATCCTGCAGGAGGCCCCGGCCGGCCCTCGCCTATCTCCGCTATGCCGCCGCCTCACTCAACAAGCTCCAAGAGGCTCCGCGACCCACCCCCTACCCCGGATACGGAGAGAAGGAGCAAAGAGGAGCAGTGCCCTACTAGGTGCCCTTTTCTACCGGCTCCTTTAAATGTACCTTCCAGAAAATTCAGTTCACTTGCACCTCCCCTATCCGGAGCCTCGGATTGGCCAAACGAGCCCCTCTGGCACCACCCACAAGCCCCAGGGAGCTGTTCATTGGCTTTGGCGCCTTCGATGCACGCCCTCTGACCCCTGGTTCTACCGCCATGTTGGGAAGGTCAAATTGAAAGAGACAACAGGGCTAAGCCCTGAAACTGCTCTAACATCGTCGCCCCTCATTCTTGCTTCCGGTCTCGGCAATCTATTTCCGCTTGACATCTTTCTTTATGTTTCCGAGTATTCTTAACCCCGTTCACTAGTCTTGATCTAGTTTTGATCCATTTTCCGCCCTACCGCTTGTTCTTTTTGTCTTTTTCACGAATTCTGTTGCAAAGAGGGGTGAGACTCAAACGGGTTTGGGACCAATCTAATAACCATTTTCGGGGATGGGGGAGTAGCCGACACGTGGGTGCCTTAGACACGTGTTCCCGAATTTCACATTTAGGGTCCCATCTAGGTTGCTCGGGTCTCTGCCCCACTTCTAGCGCTTGAAGATTATCTGCGCACGTTTAATGGAGTGTTGGCTGTACCCTGGGCTCCTCAGATATGGCTCATCAGGCTACATCCCTGGAAGAACCTGTGGTTCGGACCCAGCGGTTCCGGTTCTCTGAGGAGGCAGGACCCGGAGGGAAAAGGGCGGTGCTGGAGGTCCACATTCCCCAGGTGGGTAGGCTGGCAAGATAAAGAGCAGTACTTTCCCCACCCCGGTGACTTTACGTTTCATTAGGCAGACCCACAGCAACCAGGAGGAGCCTCTGTTGGTGGGAGGCCTGTTGGTTGGCTGAGTGCTTTTTGGTGAAGCAGTTTAGGGCCCAGCAGCAAGTTCGTTTCTGTGTCCCATGTGGTGCAGTGGAAAGAAGTAGCTTTGGAGTAGAGGGACTGAGTTTGAATTGCAGGCCTGCCGAATTTTAGCTGTATCACCCTGGGCAAGTCACTAAACCTCCCAGAGCCTTGGTTTCCTCCTCATTCCGTTTTCCCTCTCTATGTCTTCTAAGTGGCTAAGTCCCATGTCTGAAATGCAATTCTTAAAACTACTCTTCCCCAAATTTTGTTCAGTCGTGTACAACATTTCATGATTCCCCTTGGGGTTTTCTTGGCAAAGATACTGGATTGATTTCACATTTCCTTTTCCAACTCATTCTACAAATGAGGAAACTGAGGCAAACAGGGCTAGATGACTTGCCCAAGGTCACACAACTAGTGTCTTGAGATCAAATCCCTTACCCAAATTATCTTACCTGTATTTATAGTCCCATTCTAACCTCCATTTAAGTTCTTTGGGGGTATGGACTGTTTCATTCTTGTCTGTATGCCCAGTACCTGCTGCTTAATACTGAGTGATAAAACAGGTATTTGGTATATATGTAGCTTTTTTGAGGTTTACAAAACACTTTACAGCCATTATTTCATCATATCCTCACAACCTGGAGAGGAAGGTGCCATTATTATTCTTATTTTATGGTTAAGGAAACTGATGGAGACTGAACTTAAAATTATTTGCTCAGGGTCACCTGCTATTGTGAGGCTGCATTTGGTTGAACACACCATCCACCGTACCACCTAGCTGCCTACTAGCAATGTCTAATCTTGCAGGGTTGTGGGGGAAATACTTTTTAATTCTTAAAGCACTACTTACTAGCAGTTAGCAACTCATTTTTAATGTAGTCTAAATGAGTAGCCTGAAGCTCCTGAAGTTTAACCAACATGTCAGTCTCATAGATAATACAAATTAGAGGAAGGATTTTTACCAACACACTGTGCACTTAGCCAGAATGTCTCTCTACGCAGAGGTGCAATGGTATATTGGGAAAAAATGTTGTATTTGTAGTTAGAACCTTGGTTCAATTTCTTACTTTGCTGGTGATTCACAGGGCTAGTATCCAAGGTCCTGTTTGAACCCAGGCCTTCCTGACTGCAGGCCCAGATCTTTGCCACCAAGTGAACAAATAGGCTGATTAACTTTTTGATGTAGTTTTCCCCCAGAAGAGACATGTGGAACATTGTCCTTAGTTTTTTTTTATTCAAATCCACAAAGCATTTATTAGGATTTAAAATGTATGTGTATATAGAAACATTTCTATATAATACTTGTTTGGTAATAGGTTTCAGTACTGCAAGGATGAACAGAAGAAGACTACTGACCATAGGGTGTTAGCATACCAAGGGTGTGGGGATAAAAGGGGGAAGGTCTCAGCACTGGCCTAAATGAATATTTGAATGCTACAAGTATGCTATTAATATGTGTATTTCAGCTACCCAATGCTATGTGGCACTACTAAAGAATGATTAATAGCTGAACAGACTCCAAAATACTTATGTAGTGTTTGTGCCCAGAGGAAGTTAGGAAAAGAGCCTTCTGAATATTTCTATTTCCTTAATAGGGCATGAAATTCCCTTGACAAGAATTCACCTTTTCCAGGATACTTGTTGCCCAGCTGACACCACACTGATGGTGATTCGTTACTAGTTCATATTCTTGGGAGTGACTTTCAAAAGCAAACTACACAGGGACTCCAAAGGTGGGAAACGTAGAGGTAGATGCAAAGAGTGGGGCTACTTGTAGGCTGGACTTGGTTTCCTACAGGACAGTAAACACAATTATCAAAGGAGCAAAAAGGTACTAGATTGTACTGTCAGAGTGCCTGGGTACAGCAGTTTTGTTTTTTAAGTCAGTTTTGCTCCACCTGGAGACTTTATAACCAATAAGAATGCTTTTGCCTTTTCAGGTTCTGCATTTCCAGTATGGCATGTATATTTGGCCTTGTGCTGTGGTCTTGGCTCAATACATTTGGTATCACAGAAGTAATCTGATTGGCAAAACTGTATTAGAGGTAAAAGTTTATCAGATTTTACAATCTCTAGTTTCCTTTCAAAGATTGGCAACAGAGCTTCTCCATGAGGAATTTCCTAATCCTTCTCCATGCTAACACATCCCCTAAAAATGTTTTTATACTTTATGTAATAGCTCTGTTATAGAATGTACGCTTCTTGAAGGCAGAGTACTTTCATTTTCGTCTTTGTATGTTCATAGACCCAGGCAGAATACAGGAATTACATCAGATCACTTACAAATCAGGAGCTTGCCATTGCTGTTGAATGGTAGGCTTCTATTAAGTTTTCTATTAAGACTTGTTTTGTTTCCTAAACAAAATCTTAAAAGATATTTCCTTAATATGGGAAGTTTTATGATCTAGACAGAGAACTTAAAACATCCTCAAACTGATTCTTACATTTCTATTGAAAATGAATTAACACTGCCACTCCATTGTGCAAGAGATTATTCCAGGTTTTCTTGCCTTCATATTCCATATGGCATCCACTGAAAATTGTGGACTGATCTGTATTGTCCTATAAATTTGGAAATTATCAGGAGACCCAACAGTTAAAGGGTTAGATTGTCACAGATGTTCTCCAGTGTTAACCACAAGTGACCTTGGCCTTTGCTATTTCCTAAATACTTTGGTACTTGTGAAGTAGTTTGTTGTTAAGATCCTCCAGAAATAGCATCTTCTGAATTTCCCAAGACAAGTCCACTATGTGGGCCTTACCCTGTAAGGCAATCTAGAAACTGCCTCTGTATAGGCTTGTACTACAGACCCATAAAAATCCTGGCCATAGACACAGGGTCATGTCTATCTACTCTTGTCCAGTGAGATAAATTGCAAAATACTTGGTGACGTTTACCCACTTGAGTTGTTAAACTGGAAAAAGACTTAAAACTTTCTTCTAGATTAGGCAGTGCACTTCCTCAATTGCGATAACTTCGTAAGGAAGGATAGTTTTTACTTACCTTCACAAGTTCAGTGCTTTTCATCACATTTGTCCAGTACATATACACACACACACACACATGCGTGCACGTGCCCAATTTTTCACATATAACTTTCTGAGTTTGCCATTTCAGATTGGAGCAGGGGTGAGTCTCCCTGGCATAGTAGCAGCAAAATGTGGTGCTGAAGTAATTTTGTCTGACAGCTCAGAGCTACCTCATTGTCTAGAAAACTGTCGGCAAAGCTGTCAGATGAATGATCTACCCAATATACACATTACTGGGCTCACCTGGGGTCAGATCTCTCCAGAACTGTTGGCTCTACCTGCCTTGGATATCATTCTGGCCTCTGATGTATTTTTTGAACCAGAAGGTAAGCTTAATTTACTACTTTGAAGATTCTTTAAAGATAAATCTTAAGTATTCAGGTATCAATTTAGTAAACTTAAATCCATATTTTATAGGAGAAAAACCAAACCTTTATTCGCTAAATTGTTCCTACAGACTTTGAAGATATTTTAACTACAGTGTACTACCTAGTACAAAGGAACCCTCATGTTCAGTTGTGGACTACTTACCAAGTTCGAAGGTAATCTAGAAAACATCATGCACCATTAAATTCTTGTTCTGTGCATTCTGGCTGTTTTAAGAGTTTAATAAGGGCAAAGAGTTGTTTATTAGAGTTACAAGCACACCACAGCAGCTTTGCATCTAGGTATCACTGTGCAAACTATATTGTAAATGTCATTAAAACTTAGAAAAGCACTTCTGAACTTTATAAACAAATTAAAAGGTAGCCTTGGCATAGTTACGGAAAAATTAATGATTGAAGGGGGGAGCCAACTGCATTGTTAAGAAAAACCTTTATTTTCTTTAGTGCTGAGTGTTCACTTGAAGCTTTGCTCTACAAGTGGGAGCTGCAATGTATCCATATTCCTCTGGAGTCTTTTGGTGCCGACAAAGAACATCTAGCAGAATCTGCCCTTCCAGGAAGACATACTGTTGAAATGATGATCATTTCTTTGGCAAAGAATGTCCTCTGAAGTGTTCCTATGTCTCCAGCAATTAAGTCCTATATGCTTCTTTTGAACAACATCACAATTCTGTTTTAGTGTGCTTGCTGCATAGTAAAGCCACTAACAAGCCCACCCTTCTCAGTAGGAACCAGAAATAAAAAATTGCAGAGTATTGTGTTTAAAAAAAAAAAAAAAAAGGGGGAAGAAAAAAAAAAGAAAAAATAAAAATCCTAAGTTGCTAACCATTTTGATGTTTATTCACTTGGCTCGGATAAAATAAAGCTTTAGTGTAAACCAAAGCATGCAACCACCATAATAAATTTTACCTAAGAATTATAAGACTTAGATCTTTAGTCCCAAGAGGATAAGTACTTGGTGACTTTCACCTTTGTAACAGGTGAAAACTATAAATGGCCAATGCAGGAGCTTTTGATAGACTACTTTGGTACCTTGGTTTTAGTAACGAACTTGGGTATGTGCCAATTTGACAGTACTACCCAATTTTAACTCAATGGGGAGAAAAAGGCTCAGTTGAAAAAAAAAAATAAAAATAATTTTACTTGAGTACAGTCAATAATGACATTCACAGGTTAGTTGTATAGGTCTTTCAAACTAAAAAAAAAAAAATTAAGACCAAGACATTGAGTTTAGAGAAAAGCTAACATCAAGAAAAATGTTTTAATTGTAAACTACAGAAACAGTGGTTATAATACAGATTATCATAAGCAAAAGATACACCATGTTATCAGTACTTACAAAGGAATGCTTTCCTTAATGTTACATTTTTCATATGCCAAGTTCATACATGAAGATGATCAGATTTACCATTTTTTTTGGGGGGGAAAAAAAATAAGGTGTGTTTATCATCAGCTAGATGTGCTCACTGTATGCTCCGTAATTTATATGCAAGGCCCGGGTGACTGGAAGTGCAGTTGTCAGGCATTTTAATAAACTGGACAGCCATTTGTTTCTGCACGACAAGGCATCTTTACACAGGAGCAATCAGGAGAAAACAGGAAACAGCCAAGCACTCTGCACTGCAACACGCCACCTTAACAGCTAACCAGCATTACTCAACTGCTACACAACTGCGCCTAGTGCACAAAAATACATAAGAGAAGAGATTAGAATTGTGTCTGGTAAAAGAATCCTTTCAAAAATTAAGTCCTCACCTGAAAAGTCTTATACAAATTTGGGCTCAGATACTACTCAGTATCTGAAAGTAATTAGTATTTTACAAACAAATTTACACCAAGGTTTTGTAGATTTTTTTTTTAAAGGAATGAAGGCAATGTTGAGTTAACTTCTCTTGATAGCATTAGGCTATTCAGCATGTAATGGCTGCATGTTTCCTCAAAACTCAGGAGGCCACAAATTAGGTTAAGGGAGTCTGTTTAATTTCAAACAAAATCAGCACTATATAAACAAAAATGAAAATTTACCTCAAAAATCCAAAGCCAATAATGAAATCTGTAGTCGTTCACTTCACTAAATTACAAGAAATTTGAATAACAGCAACAAAATGGCACATAAAATGAAGTTTGCCATCTGAGGCAGCTTAAAACAAGTTAAAAAGTTAGACAAAATGTTACAAAATAACCTTTTCAATAGCCAGTTGCTTGTTCCATGGACTCTTCAATGGACTGAATGTGGTCTTTCCCCCCAAGTCATCCATTATGTTGCTTTCTGCCGTATCTAGGTTTGAAAAGAAAGAAATTCAGCCAACTTTCCATACAAAGAACACCTAAGCATGTGGTTAACTTCAGGTCAAGTTCCTGGTCATGCTGGAGATGGCCTTACTAAAAAATTTTGTGAAATTTTACAAAGTTATAATGCTCTACACCCCCCGCACATAGTGTTAGGCCTAATTTAAGTTTTTACAAAAAGCTATATCAGTATAAATGTAAAGAAAGTCTGGCTTAAACTTCCTTGACCATGAACCAAAAATGAAGAGATGAAAAAGGCTGTATTCAAACCATTTTTACCTTGAACCCACTCTGTTTAATACCAACTAACTATGTTATTTTTGCTTATGTGGGAGAAATAACTTTAAAAGTCACTTAAGAATTAACACTTAGCTTTAAATCTGAGCTACTCAGGCCCCTTTACTTTTAAAAACAGGACCAAACAATTTGAGGAGTTAAAGACACACTATCCTTTCCCACCCTGTGTTCAATTTTATTTCCCCCTCAAATTTGGTGTTTAAGAAATATTTGCCAAATCCATCAAATTCCCAGTCAGTACAGCAACTGAGGAACTGAATGTTCTTTAAAGGATAGTGCATCTTTAACATTTAAAGACAAACCTGCTCCAACACACGCCCACAGAAACTGGTCCCTGGAGGATCAGCCAAATCAGTTAAAATCTGCAATACTGGCCAATATTCTTTTAGCAAACAGGAGACCGCAGCTTTAAAGGGGAAAATGCAGATGTTGGATAAAAACAGCAAGAAATAATCACTTTTCATTAATAGGTCTCTTAACAGTTTAACCAAATAGCCATTAATATCTAAATAAACATAATATTTTTTTTCTGCAGACCCCTGGCTTTGATATTACTCCCAAAGCTGAGTAAGCAGAACTCCTAACATAAGGAGTTTATTTTAGGTCAATTGGCTTAAGAACTACTCCAAACCCCACTTAAGAAAGTGCTATTGTGTAAATCTGTCTCCCGGTTTAGGAGATAAACTTTGGATCCTCAGACATTACCATGATCCTAAGATGAAACAGCTCCTTCCTCTTCAGGAGACTTGGGGGGGCTCTTGGATCGAGATCTAGATTTTGATTCCCTCTTCGATACCGGTGGAGGACTTCTGGATCTGGACCTGGATCTGGACCTCGACCGCGATCTGGAGACCGACGAGGACTTGGATTTGGATCTACGGGCCGACCTGGACTTGGAGGTAGATCGGGATCTGGATCGAGTACGAGAACGAGACTTGGAGCGGCTGTAACGAGATCGGCTGCGGGATCTGGAGCGACTCCGGCTTCGAGAACGGCTGCGGCGACGCCGCCTCGGGCTAGAGGCAGAAACAGGAATAACAGGCAGGGTTAGAAAATACCAAGTTCGGCCCCGCCCGCGTGCTCCCGCCCAGGCCGCCATTATCTCGCCCCACCAAGCGCCGCCATTTCCCCAGTCCGAAGGGGGAGGGGAAGCCTTCTCCCGGGGCCACTCTCCCCCCCGCTTCACAGGCCAGGCCAGGCTACACTCTGGAACCCCAGCGGTCCAGAATCTTGCCCCAAGACATTAGGAACAAAAGACCCCGGTGGAGGAGAGGAAAAAGGGACCACGTGCCCCCTCAGTCCCAGCCCCCGCCATCTGGGCCACCACGTGGCCCCTCGCGCCCAAGGGGGCACCTTCCGTGCCCTCTCCCTCCCTGCCTCCCGACTCCAAGTGGATAAATGGGGCGTAAAATCAGGCTTTGTCTGGAGACTTTAAAACCAAATCCAACTCACCACCCCTCCCCCACCGACCTTTCTTCCCCTCCCCACCACCCCAGAACCCCTGAAACAGTTACCGCCCGCCTTTTACCTGCGGCTCCGGCGTCCGTAGCCGCCTCCCCCATACCTGCGGGGCGGCGGACCCCGGCGGCTGTGGTGGGAGTCTGGCGGGCGGCCATAGCGGGCCATTTGCACCCGCAGCTCCCGGCCGTCAAGCACGGCGCCGTCCATGGCGTCCATAGCGTCTTCGGCGTCGCGCTTGTCGTGGAAGCGCACGAAGGCGAAGCCACGGGACTCCTTAGTGTAGCGATCACGGGGGATGTAGACATCGCCCACCCGGCCGTACTTCTCAAAGACTCGCCGCAGAGTGTCTGGCGAGGTGCGGTATGTCAGGTTGTCCACCTTCAGGGAGGTCATCCCCTCCACATCTGGGGGAGGACGCCCGTAACTCATGGCCGGCGAGAGCTCGGCCCGAAGGCTGCGCGCCGAGAAATCAACGCCCTGGGAGGGCCCGCGCGCGCTCAGCTAGAGGCGGCAGCGGCGACCCCGACGGTTCGCCGCAACTAGTAGGCTCCGGTAACCCTTTCTTTTCAGAGGGGCCTGCGGCGCGGTCGGTGGAAGGGGATTTAGAAGAACTTGGTCAGGTTTCACGACCCTCGAAATGGCTGCACGACCTTCCTCCTCTCTCACCTGAAAAGTAACTGAACGGGGCGCTACAACCCAGCGCCCGTTTATCACTCTCCTCACAAAATGGCGGCAGCGCTACCCGGAAATGAAAACTCTTGAGTCATTAGCTCCGCCCCTCGGCCAATCTGTGTAGTCCAATCTCCTCTCGGCCGCCCTTCGATTCCCCGCCCCCACCAGGGCCTGGACGTAGGAGCGAAGGCCCCGCCTGCAGAGGGCGTCGTTCGCTAACCGGGTGAGCTTGGCGGGAAAGGGACCTCCAGGGCCCGCCACACGCTTTTCCCGCCGTCCACCGGACGCTGGAGGACCCTTCCCCTGGAGGAGGGCGGGGGTGGGGAGGTAGGGAAGAGTGGTGGTGGCCCTTGGCTCCGCCCCGCCCGGCTCCGCCCCGCACCATACACCAGTGTAGGAGCTCCACGTTCACCCTGGCAGAGGCCCCAGCCCTTCCAATTGTCCTATTGGCCCGCTGCCCCACTAGACTCTCCCCTTCAGCTCCGGCCTTCCGGAGCCTCTGCCGGCTCCACGCCCCTTCACGTCCCCAGCCGAGGAGTGGGTGTGCCCGCCCCGGCCTATTCTCCTCAGGACTGCATTTCCCAGCGGCCCCAGCGCGCCCCTACCCGTGCCCCATCAGCTGACAAGAGTCTCCTGACTCGAGAGGCGCTCCCCGGCTCGGGGCTGGGGAGTCACAGCTGCTCCCCGCCAGAGCCCTGCGGGAAGGTGTCCAGTCTGCATGTGCGGCAGGAAGCCTCGTCCCCAACTCTGGAGGGGGTCAAGCCCCGCTGCCTCCGCCCCTCTCGTGACTGACTCTCAGCCCTAGAGCCCACCCTTCTGTTTAGGCTCTGTCACTCCTGATCGTTTGTCTCCCCAGGGATCTCGAGCCGGGTCTGTGCTGCAGCGAGAGCCGAGGCAAAATGTCCCCAGAATCCAAAAAGCTGTTCAACATCGTTATTTTAGGCGTTGCCTTTATGTTTACGTTCACTGCCTTTCAAACTTGTGGAAATGTGGCGGTGAGTGGTCCTCTATTTTCATCTTCAAATCTACCTGCTCGTTATGAGTCCAGTAAGCGTTGATGCACATGAACTATAACAACGATTCTAAATTACACCCTCTGCATCCTCACTCTGCCACTACCCACATCCCTCTTCTCTTTTCTTTTTTTCTCCCGTTTGTTATTTGGCTTGATTTTATGTGTGTCGTACACGCCGCTTATTCCTCCTTAAATGTGGGTGCTTAATCATTGCTGTCCCTTGTTCCTCCTTTGATTGTGTACTTGGGTAGTAGGTGAATTTGCCGTAGTTATTTTACTTTTTCATCATAGCATGTTCATTATTAGTACTTGGAAGGACAAGGAAATGAAACCCTCAACTCATAGTTTTAGTCAATTTGTGTCAACCATTTTGTTAACTATTCCTTCTAGTACTGTGGTCCCTTCCAGTGTTCTACACTTGTATTCATTGTAGGGTTGTGAATTCTCTAATGCTGTTTCTAGAAATCTAAAGTATAGCTTCCACAGAGGAAACTTGCAGTAGGCATTTAGTAATTCCTTTTGTTTTTCAAACAGCAAACTGTTATCAGAAGCTTAAACAGCACAGATTTTCATGGCAGTGGATATACCAGGTATAGTATACTAGTTCCGTTTGTTTTATTGAACTTTGGCCAAATCACATTAAATGATATTTAAAGCACTGAACTTGAAAATCAATTAGCCCAGCCACTTGTTAGTTATATCACCATTGGCAAATTGTTTAACCTCCCTGAGTTTCCATATCCTCATGTGTAAGAGTACTTGCATTGTATACCTCACTTCACAGGGTGATTGTGATGAAAATCTAAACTTCAAAATGCTTCATATATTAGTTTATAAAGGTGGTGGCCATTATCAACTATCATTGCTACTTGTTCCTTTCCATTTTAAAATCTGATTAAGGTCTTGGTTGGTCTAATTTTTTCCTACATATCAGTGTCATTAAAAAAAACCACATATAATTAGTACCCAGTCCTAAATGGGAGGAAATTTGCATGGTACCTTAAGCATTTCTCTACTTTCCCCATTTTTTTATGATAGTGACAGACATCTGGCGGTATTGGATAGAGCATTGGCCTAGGATTCAGGAAGGTCTGGGCTGTAATCTTGCCTCTTGCACTTACTGGTTGTGTAACCCTGGGAAAGTCACTTCACTTCTGAATGCCCCTAGTGCTTGGAAGTTACAGAACTGTTGTTGATCTGCCCCGGTAAAAAGAGCTAGATTCTGATAGAGTTTTCTGTTAGCAATGAAATCATAAGTCTGCAACAAAGTAGAAGTAATATTGCCTATTGCCTTTCATCAAAAGAAGCCTCCAAGTGTTTTTATAAATTTCTGTTGGGAAAATGTTTCAGTTATGAAATCATTTCCTAGAAGGGAACCAATAAGACTTTTACCTCAGACCGAAAGTTCTTAGGCAAACGTCCTTTTTTACAGATGGATGAACTTGAGTGGCATAGACTTGTTCAGGGTGCAAGTAAGTCATATTTGAACAAAGAAATACTATTAGCTTTTTTTTCCTGGAAGAAAGAACAAAAGCAGTATAGTTTCCCTATTGTTTGTGTATTTGAGCTCTCGGCAACAGTTCAGTTTCTTTCAGTTTTTAATATTTTGTCATTTACTTCTCCTAGGTTTGACCTATATTATATTAAGTAACTAGAAGCAATGTTGCCTGGTGTCTGGAGACCCAGGCCTCTAAGCCAGGAACATTTGGGTTCAAATCTTGTCTCTGATGAATACTGCTTGTGTGACTCTGGGCAAGTCACTCTCTGGCAAGAATATTTAATTGCTGAAAAGGTTCCAACCTGTATTGGTAGCAGTTCCCTCACCTGGAAGTTCCCTATAACCAAAGAAATCACAGGTCCAGTCCCTATGCCTATCTTATGTCAAGTAATAAGTATGTAATTGTCTGAAGTGATTAATAAGATAATATGTGTATAGTGCTTTATCCCAGTTAATTCTGAAATTCTTACTTGATTAACATTATTTTGTGATAACGTTTATCAGTTTTAAAACTAAGAGATAACTTATTTTGGCTTTGTAAACTAAGTTTAGACCCTAAAACGGAGTTTTTTAACTTAGCACAAATTGCATTCTAGTGAATATCCTTGGTAGCCAAAGCAAGTTATTCATTAGTAAGTCCTAAAATTTTGCTTGACCAGTATCACTGGTGTGCAGATTGTAGTTGTGGCAAGTGAAAATTCACTTTCTGAGTAACTGGGGTTAATATCCATGTTTAAAGATGTTAAATCAAGTTATTAGAGGGAAATTTTAGGCAGCATGGTATTAAGGTAAGTAACATGATGTTTACAAAGGAAAATTAAAACTAAGTATTCTTGATTTAGATAGCAATACCTTTTTGACTAGTGAATTCCAATTCACACCAGTATAGAGTAATACAGGCTGGTGGTCTTGTTTTTATAAGGATCTTTTAATGTTAATAGCACATTTTTCTTGAAAGAAAAATCTACAGTATATCCAAATTGATTTTTTTAGAAAGTCATTTGAAACTTCTTAGATGGCATTTCACAATTTTTTTCCTGTTTCTGTTTTTTTCCTGCTTTTCATGTAGCCTAGCAATTATTTATGGAGTGTTCTCTGCTTCAAACTTGATTACACCTTCGGTTGTAGCCATAGTGGGACCTCAACTATCTATGTTTGCTAGTGGTTTGTTTTATAGGTAAGTAGCATTATAGTATATCATTTATTTCATCAGAATGCCATCAACATCTTATAAGAACTTATTAAAAGTTCAAATGTTTTCTAACCTGGCTTGATGTGAACCTAACATCATTTTTTTCTAATTCTAGGGAGTATTTCATCAGTTTGGCTATATTGTACTTTTTGAGGCATTCTAGATGTTAACGTAATTAAGCCTTCGGGAAATCTTATACTTTTTCTCAGGAATTCTATAGTGTTCATTAATTTTTAATTTAAAAAATTACTTTGCAGAAAAATATTTGAGAGTAGTAACCTTTCAATGAGGAAATCAGGCCAATGAGTTTGAGTTAAGTGAAAATTTAGCCCAAAAGTCTTATTTAAAGCAACAAAATTTTATTGTGTTTAAGGACAGTTCAGTCTGGTGTATAATTCTTGTTCATTTGTTAAAAGGTTATGTATAAAAGAAGGGAAAAATAAAGTAAGGACATTTGTATTCGTTTTTTGTGTTACTGGTAATAGCTTGATATAGCAACTTTACTCATGGTATCTGAATTCTTTCCTCAGAGAGTTGAACAGAACTTCCACTGAAATAGTTTAGGTTGTTTTTAATTGACCAGAAGTAGATCACTCCTTGGTGACTAAATTTTTCAACCTCTCTTTGTTTTGCTGATCTACTTTTAGGAAGCCATTTCATCCAACACCTAGTTTATATTAATGACAGTAGCTATAGCGGAAATGAACAAATCACATTTTTCCCTTTTGGAAACTAGAGACATCTTAGAACTTAAACTTTAGAGGAAGGATTCACTCATATTGATTCTTGGAAGGCATTATTGGCATATTTTGAATATTATTTGAAGATAATAAATTGACCTGTTATATTTTAGCATATACATTGCCGTTTTTATCCAGCCTTTCACATGGTCCTTCTACACAGCATCTGTTTTCATTGGGATTGCAGCTGCTGGTAAGCATGGCTTTGTTTTCTTGCTCTTTATTTTTCTGGGGCTTATCAATGATATCATTTGTTTGTAAAATTAAGTGAATTAATCTCTTTTTTTGATTAACTTTGGTTTTCCTTTTAGTAATTTGGACAGCACAAGGAAATTGCCTTACAGTAAATTCAGACGAAAATACCATTGGAAGAAACAGTGGAATTTTCTGGGCACTGTTTCAGTCCAGGTAGAATTCTTATATGAAATCTTTTTTTCTTTGATTATTCAGATCTACTCAGCAAACTCATTTCTTTGTAATTCAGTGCTTAATTCTCATCAATTCCACATCAATTAATTTTGTCAAGTTTCCAGATATATGTAGCATTATGCTCAAGATTATAGAACAGGGTGAGGAACCTTTGGCCTCAAGGCCACACGTAGCCCTCTAGGTCCTTAAGTGGGGCACTTTGACTGAATCCAAACTTCCCAGAACAAATCCCTTTAATAAAAGGATTTGTTCTGTAAAACTTGGACTCAGTCAAAAGGCCACACCCAAGGACCTAGGCTACTTGTGGCCTTGAGGCCGAAGGTTCCCCACTCCTGTTATAGAATGAGTTAAAACATTCAACCTCTATCTCCTGGAATTCACATGTGCAATCACAAAGAAGAAAACACAAACATATAAAAGCATAAGATAAATTATATTAACCAAATTAAAAAGCATCACATGGTCATGCTGTTGTTATCTTTTAAGATTATCTTGGTATCACTTTCATGGACCTTTTCCTTTGTTTTGATAATTCATATGACTGTAAATGCAAATGTTTATATTGAGTCAGCTGGCATTTATTAAACACCTACTAGATGCCAGGCACTGTACTAAGCACTGAGGATACAAAGAAAAGCAAAAACAGTTCCTGTCTTCAAGTAGCTTATAGTCTAATGGCAGGACACTACATGTAAACAACTATGTACAAACAAGATATACACAGAATAAATTGGGGGTAGACTCAGAGGGAAGACCTTAAGATTAAGGGGGACCAGAAAGGCTTCTTGCAGAAGGTAGTATTTTGTTTGAAACTTGAAGTATGGTAGGGAAGCCAGAAGGTAGAGATGAGAAAGGACAGAATTCTAGGCCTGGGAGAAAGCCATTAAAAATGCCATAACTGGATCAAAGAATGTGTAGTGGGAAATAAAGTATAAAAAGACTGGAATGACAAGAAGGGACAAGGTTATAAAAGGCTTTAAAAGTCAAATAGGATTTTACATTTGATCCTGGAAGCAACAGGGAGCTACTGGAGTTTATTGACTAGGGAGCTGACGAGATTAGGCTTATGCTTTCATAGCTGAGTAGAAGATGGACTGAAGTGGGGAGAGACTTGAAGTAGGGAGGCCAACAGGAAGGCTATAGCAATAGTCTAATAGTGGTGTGTTGAGAAACTGGACCAGGATGGTGGAAGTATTACAGGAGAGCATGGGGCATAGGACTTGGCAACAGATGGGGTAAGAGAGAGTGTTGAGTCCATCTAAATTTAGAGCCTGGGTGACTGGGAAGATAATGGTTCTATCGTGAATATAGAATGAATCCCTAATTTCCCAGGTCAGAATGCCAAATGAAATACATATTTAAAATAATAGAAGAATAATTTCTTCATAGATTCTTGTAATTCAGAAACTTAACTTGTTTGCAAGTCATCTTGCTACAGAGTTCTAGTAAATCACATGATTCAGAATGAGTTTAATTTTCTTTGAAAGGCTGCCGTGAATCAGGTCACCAGCATATGACAAGAGATTTTGTTCCATTTGTAAGGACAGCACATTATTTCAGATCTCAGTTGTGAATTAAATTTTTCCAAGCGTGAAATGGAGGGGTCATCATTTTTCTTAATTATTACTCTAGGACTAGTAGAAAGTCTTGGGGAAAAAATACATATACCTTTTTTTTGTCTAAAAATACCTGAATTCACTTTTTAAAAATCTTAAGTAGTATTTTAATTTATCCTCTCACCTTTTTTTCCTCCCAGCTTGTTCTTTGGAAATCTTTACATTTATCTTGCTTGGCAAGGAAAAACTCAAATATCAGGTTTGTATTGTTTACTTTGTTTTTAATATACTGTTTAGGCCCCAGTGATATCTATCATTTGTTACTTTGGGCATTGCTATAATAAAACTTGGGATTCTAGATTCTTATTTTTATTTCTGAGATTTTTAACAACCTTAAACCAGCAGTTATTTTGTTTTTCCAGTAGAGTAGATTGCCATGCTTCAAATAGTACTAAAGACTTTAAAGTCATTGGTGAAGTTTTGTTGTGGGTTGAGGGTTATGCAAGAAATACTTGATACTTAATCAGGAGAAAATCTTTGTACTTTGTTTCTTTTAACTATTTTTGCATTGCTCTGTAACGACAAAATGTGATTTTCTTTTTTTATGTTTATTCCTTTGGCATGGTACCATGTCTGAAACATAAAGGCAAGAGTGGAATTGACATTTTACTTCTTATCCAAAGTTCATCAGGTTTTATTGATGCATTGAGCAAGTATTTTGATAATCTATCCTCTTAGCTGTTGTTAGCTTCTGTGGAAAAAAGTACAAATTTAAAGATTATTCATGTAATTAACACTGGCTATCTTTTTTCTTCAGAGAATGACCGAAGAACAGTTTTTATTGCTCTGACGGTGATTAGCCTTGTGGGGACAGTTCTTTTCTTTCTCATTAGGAAACCAGACCCTGATAATGTATTGGGAGATGATGAGTCCTCTGATAATGAAAGTCTGGAAGTCAACATGTAAGAACTTTGGCAATTAATCTTTTTTTTTTTTCCAAAGTCTGTATACATGTAGTCCAGGGATCACCAACCTCTTAATCTCTGGCTATCATCTCAAAAGTTAGTCAGTTCCAATAGTTAGAGGAAAGACAAAATGAAATTAAGAAAAAAGTAAGAAGAGGATAGAAGGATAGAATAGGAAGGATAGGAAGAAGAAGGATAGGAAATAGAAGAACTATTACATAAAAGACTCAAGTTCTGATCTTGTCTTCACCACTTGGACAAGTCGCTTTAACTTTTTTTGGGTGTCAGTTTCCTAATCTCTATAGTTACTCTCTAATAAAGGACACTCACTGAAATATACCTGAGGGATGATGCTTGATTTTCTTCATATTGGATGAATTAACTTCATTTATCAAGTGCCTGCTACATGCAAGGCACTATACTAGATTCTAGATTATATTGTACAGGCTTAAATTTTTCTAGAAAAATTTCAAATGAACACTGAATGTTATTTTGTTGTTTATTGAAAATAATGAAGTTTAAACTAGCACTTTTCAAACCATTCCTTCAAACTATAATCTAAAAGGAGATATATCCCAAATCATCTTATTTACTTACTTTTGTTCAGCTTTTTTTCCCCTGTTTTATTAAAGACTAACAAGTTTGGATAAATTCTACCCTTTGGTTTGAATGTTTTTATTGATGGTTTATATTTTGTTTTTTAAGAGTAGTTTCTAGATTTTAAAAGTCTAGATTGGAAGAAACAACATCAAAAATAATTTGAACTATTATATTTTTATTTTTTGTTAAATAGTAAAACTTCGAAGTATGTCAGATAAGTCAGCCACTAAAAGATTTAAAATTTTTGTTTGTCTTTACCATCCAGGAAGTTTATTTTAATCTGAAAGAGTTGGCTGAAGCATTTAATTTTTGTTTAGTTTTGTTGGTTAGAGATTGAAAAAGTACATGAAGAGTTTATGTAAGATAGAAAAAAGGTATAAATTTGTTTCAGATAATCTGTTTTAGTATTTTGAGTGTTCTTTTAGCATAAACCAGTAAAAAATAGGGGGAAAGAACTATAGTAAATACTGAATTTTGTCAAATCTTTGATGGCATATTGTATAGCAGAAAGGGCATTGGATATGAATTCTAGTCTTGGCTCTGCCACTAACTAGTCATAATTCATATTTTATATCATTTTACAGTTTGCAAAGCACTTTTTTCACAGCCCTTTGAGGCATACATACATGTAGTACAAGTACTCACTCCCATTTTATAACTGAGGAAACAGTCTCATAGAGGTTAAGTAATTTGCCCATGATTATACAAATCTAGGTCTTGTTTTATGCACACGTAAAAGGAAGGATTAGACAAATTTATCACTAAGATTCCTCCCTCCTCAAGATCTACAAAAACCATGTTCACTTAGAGATAGTTATTGAACCTCCTAATATGAGTTCACCCAGATCACTAGGGGGACAGGGAATCTCAGCCTTATTGTGAAACAATTCTCTACTCTGCGTCTTAGGCGCAAACCCGCCAAACCCAATATTTATTAAATTCTAAACATTTCTGCTTAGAGAAAGCTGGGTCCAAATATGGACAAGAATTACCCCCATATCCCTAAAAATTGAACACAAGGCATTTAGAGTTAAAATTTATAATATTTTCCAACACACTAAAAATTGAGCATGGATTTAAGAGTTTAGGTAATAGTCTAAGAACAGTAGCATCCTAGAGAATTGTTTTCCTAAAACTGTTCAATCTTTCCTTGACCATCCCCTCTAAGGACTCTCCTTGCCACTTAGTCAGAGGTGAACTTATTTTTCTTAACTGAAATATTAAGACTTAGTCCTTTTCATTATATGATCATTACCCCAGTCACTTCAAAGGAAAGTCTTTCCTTGGCTTATCAGCAGAGAGGAGTTTGGGAGTAGGTTAGAAACTAGAGAAGGCCTTTTGATAAGAATGATGTGAAAAGATTTCATTATGGCATGTTGTTTTAGAATTGATAGTTAAAGAAAAACATGATATTTTTCACTCAGATTAGTCCAAAGACCTTAGACTATACCCTGAGAGAAATGCTTTCTTGATATATTTAAAAGAGGGAGGAGAGAATGGGGAGTTCAGTTTAGTGTACTTCCACACTATGAATTCTTCAGTCATGGGATTCCTTGATAAGTGGAATTTCAGGAGGTAATTGGTAACCAAGTTCCAGTTAATTTGAATGTATTTGAAAAATGGTATATTATAGATCAATCTTGTTTTATTTCTGTTTTTAAGACTGAAAGATCAGAACTTAAGGTTGGGTCCTAATCAAAATCAGATTAGTTAGTATTTGAATTTGTGTAGCAGTAAAAAAATTTTTGTAGGAATGTCAAACTGACCTTTAAAGTTACAACTCTTAGAAAAGTATGCTTACTAACTCTTAAATTGTTTGAATGTAGAAGATGAGGTATGACTTTTTTTTTAAACTTCTTAGTGCTGTGATCAATTATTAGTCACATGAATGAATAACTACTTTTTCTGTGTTCCTCTATCCTTAATTTGAAAAGATCATGAAAAAATGTCAATGATTAGAACCCCTTCTATTTATGAAATGTGGTTTATGGATTGAGAGTACCATTTTTCTTAACTGGGATATATTGGTTGTAGCTAGGATTCCTGAAATACCTTCTGAGAAATATAAAGTCCATAGATAGTAACATAGCAAAAGATTGAATTATACCAGCTCCATGGCAGCTACAGTTTTCTGGTTGAGAAGAGAAGCTTTTTTGTTTATTAAATTACCATACCTTTTCTTATTAGCATAAGGGAAACAGAATAGGATAGTAAAAAGAACATTGACTGGCTTTGGAGTAACAGGACCTGGATCAAATCTTAACTCCATCACTATCTTTGTGTCCTTAGGCAAGTCACTTAGCCCCTCTGGGCCACAGTTAACTCATCTGTAAAATGAAGGGTTGAACTAAATGACCTCTGACATTTTCTTTATTTTTATCATACCAAGGAAACTGGAGTTCTAATTATGTGCTTCTTTTTTGAGCTTCCTAAAGGAGGCTTTATTGGTATAGTGATGAAAGGGATCCATTCCCCCCCCCCTTTAATTAAAGAATGAAGAATTTCACTCTCCATATAGAGAATCATGCATATATAAAAACAAATTTTGTTTACAAGGTAGTGAGAAAAATAATGTTTTTACGAATAAATTATTTTCGTGAATTGAAAATACTGCCTTGTTATAGGTTATATTTGACTAAGATCCAAATGAAAGTCAGCAGAAAGGTAACTTTATGTGAATCGTATTTTTTCAGAAGATTGAAGAACTAAATTTATGGAGCACAGTATATATTTTTGACTATAGTGGAATCATGGGCCTTCATGATACAACCTAAAACAAGGAACATTGAAGACTTGCAGAAATGTTTTCCAAGCCACTTAATACTTGGAATCTACAATTGTTTAAATGCTGTATTGAAACATGATGGTATTTTCTTTTGTTTCCTTGAAGACTGAAAAGAAAATCTTTTTTATTTAATCAGGTCTGTACAGAACAACATGACAAAGGCAGTAGATGCATTTAGTAAGTATTCTGTACATCTAAAATTAATGTTCAGGACCCTTTACCCCTCTTCCATAATTGTTTTGATACTACTATACAGCTTTCACTTTACCACTCATGTTATTCAGAAATCTGCTAGCTTGTCATCACAGAACATTGCCCCTTTATGACGTTTGTGTTAGGGCATAAGTTATTTATTGTATGTATTTCTTAGTTTGGTAGGATGTCGGGGATGATTTGATTGTGGTGATCACTTTTTGGCCTTTTGGCTAATATCAAGTGAGCTGCTTAATGATATTATAAAGGAGCTCTCCTGAAAATCAGTGTGTAGTGTGGTAAAAAGTTAGCTAATAGACATTTATTAAATGCCTACTATGTGCTAGGCACTGTGCTATGTGCTCCGGAAAGGAAAGGAAAAAGAGGCTGCCCTCAAGGATTTATAGGCTAATGGAGGAAACAACAGGCAGACAATTACGTATAAACAGGATATCCTGTATTGTATAAGAAAATCACAATGGAGAACATTACAGTCATGGGAGATAGCCAGGGAAAATGTCCAGAGTCAGGAAACAGTGTCTTGTTTGAGGAACAATAAGGTGGCCAGTGTCACTGGATTGAAGAGTATGTAAGGGTATAAGATGAAAAAAGACTGGAAAAGTAGAGGGAGGGGAGCAGATTATTAAGGTCTTTGAATGCCAAACTGAGGATTTTATATTTGATCCTGGGGGTGATAGGAAGCCTCTGGAATGTATTGAATGAGGGATGGGAGAAATGATATGGCCAAAACTGCGCTTTAAGAAGATGAACAATGTAGCAAAAAAATCTGTAGATTTTCACCCAGAACACCATGTGTTCCTGTCCCAGATCTGGTGCTTTGCAGTGTTCACTTAACCTCCTTCAATCTATTTCCTCATCGATAAATGAGACTTTAAGGTTATTTGATGTCATTGATGTACATACTACCATCAGTAGAGATTGAAATTACTTAAACTGCTGGTAAAAATTCACTTGAGTTGTGTAACCAAAAAATATATTACCTGGTTGTCAAACTGCAAGTGAACCTTTCTGAATTTAGCTAGGCTGGACCCCTAGTGACTCAGATCCATACTTGAAGACTTTTCTAGCTTGTTAAGACTTGTTACTCAGTGGAGCATTATATCTAAGTCCTTCAAGAACCCGTCACCTCTATACCAGTTAGGCATTAAAATAGGACTTTGGTGGAAGTTTGTGAGGAACCAATAAGGTGATATGTATAAAAGATGTCTGGAATGATACAGCTCTATATTCATTGTATTACCATTAATTACATCATAATTTGTGATCAGTTTGACCAAACATACACAGATCTCAGCCAGCCTATAGGAACTACAGATCACCCTCTCATAGTGCCTGAACAGGAAGTTCAAATATATTCAGAATTATTTTTTAAAAGAAAAATGTGTTTTATGTAGATTATTAAGTTATAGTGAGTGAAATTATGTTCTGGGAAAGTGTGTGTACTTGATTTAACATTCATCAGTCTTCTCTATTTATTCCAAAGGGCATTAAGACATATTCATTAGAAACGTCTGCCAGGGATTGCTATTCAGATTTTGAAGAAGTATTTTTCCATACAAACCAAACTGTAATTAAATAATTTATTTATTAGTCTTTTGAACTAGAGCTGTATTCTGCTGAAAAGTTGCTAATTTATTTCATATCTGTGGTATCTAGGTTATTGTAATAATTTCATTAAAATCAGAATACAGCAGTATGCCTTTACTTGTTCTGTCCCAAAGTAAACATTTTCCATAAAAGAATTTCTCTAATACCCATGTTTATGAGAACTAGGAATACTAAACATCAGCTCTTTCATCACAAATCACTGTTGAGTGAATTCAGTATAGTATAAGTCAGGTTTACACTAGGAGTTTATAGATGGGATTTTGATGAATGTACTGTGTGTCATGCTAGCAGTTATACCCTTTCCTCATTTCTAGAAATTTGGTAGTTGACCATGACATAATGTACATGAGAGATACTATACTGAAAGGCCCAACAAAGGTTCCTTACTGGCCTTCTTATGTACTTAAACATTTCAAATTTAAAAATTTTTTTCTATTCGGCCGCACACTTGAGGCTACATCAGAAGTGTAAAAAAAAAAAAACATTTTAAAAGAGGTAACCACAATAATGAGCTGGTATGTAGACCAAAAAATTTAAGGGTTGATATATTTGCAATATAGTTTTGACCTAAGCCTGGTCTATAAATTATCTGAGACTTCCCTTGGCGTGGTCGCATTATTCTAGTATACTGCGCAAGGTAGAATAAGATAGAATGAGTTCCTTAATATGGCAGGCCCTTAACATCACAACCATAATTTCTTCCTAAGTCATTTATCTGACTTAGTCTCAATCTTTGGTTCTGGTTAAGGAAATTTCTTATGAGAACTTCTCTTTAGCTAATACAAGTCTGATAATATCTCTAATACTTCTGATATCTCTCTTATTTCCAGAAAAATCTCTCAAATTGTGTGTCACTAAAGAAATCCTGTATCTCAGTGTTACAACTGCCTATACAGGTAAGGAATTAATGAGAGAGATGGTAAATATCTAATGATTCTAGGACAGCATTGTGGCACTAGATAAAGGTTCAGAAATAAATATAAATCCTTACATTCTGAAATAGATAAATGCAATAATTCACTGTGTAATGAGATATGCAAAGAACATCATAAGAGGAATATGTGATAACAATCCTTTTTTAAAAGAATTTATGATAATAACATGCTGATTATTTTACCTTCATGAGCCCCAAGGGAAGAAACTTGTCTTTAGAGAAATTAGAAACAAAGAAGATCTTTTAAAATTCAGTGTTAAAATGTTGTAGCCTTGGAGAAAATCCTGTTTTCTTACTGTTTTAAGTATGAAATTATTTCTTTTTTGACCGGTATAAAAGAAAATTGTGTTTAGTTTTAAACATTGTGTCGAACCTCCGAACTAAAATATTTAGCACTGTTTTTCTAATTTTGTCATTTTCCTTACTAAGAAAGGTTACTCATGAGAAAGTTGAAAAACTGTTTCATCACTCATTTGTGGTAACTATAGCAAAGCTACATACCTTGCTTATCCCCAAAACAAAGCTAAGAAATTAGTCTTGGTAATATTCTTGTATATTTGAATGATTTAATTTTATCTGAAGGTTCATACAGATGCCATTTTGTGACTAATGTTTTTCACTACATTTGTAGCACATCAGAATTGTAGATTAAGTGGAAAAAACATTCCTTGGCTGGGGATTAATTTTAACTTAAATAATATTTATCTTAACCATCCTTAAGCAGTCTGTCATTAAGTGCTTACTGTGGGTCAAGCTGTGTACTAGGTGCTGGAGATATAAAGGCAAATAACAAAACAATCCCTTTTCAAGCAGCTTCTAATGTGCTTGTGAGAATTATGACATTTTTGGAGTGTGTATGTGTCTTTTTTTAATGATACTTTTAGACATAAGAGAATATATGCATGATGAAAGGGAGATTATGATGCTATAATTAATTTAAGGATTTTTCTCTAAAGGCTTGGAATTAACATTCTTCTCTGGTGTATATGGAACATGTATTGGTGCTGTAAATCAGTTTGGCACAGAAGAAAAAAGCCTTATTGGACTTTCTGGCATTTTCATCGGCATTGGAGAAATTTTAGGTTGGAAACAATTTTCACTTATCTCTCCAGTTTTGTGATATTTGTTGTAGAATTTAATATGATTCTCTATTTTTTATCTCCTTCAATTTCTCTTCTTATTTTCTTGCACTTGGTACTTCTGGTTATTTCAGTCATTTTAGAATAAATAAATCAAGGATCTTAGACCAAATCAATCAGAAATAAAATTATCAAGATAAAAAAAATGTGGGCAGCTAGGTGGCACAATGGATAGAGCACTGGCCCTGAAGTCAGGAGGACCTGAGTTCAAATCCGGCCTCAGACCAAACACTTGATGCTTACTAGCTGTGTGACCCTGGGCAAGTCACTTGACCCCAATTGCCTGAAACAAAACAAAACAACAACAACCAAAAAAAAAGATTAAAAAAAAGTAACATTTCCCAAAATTTCATCTCAAAATGTCATTTCTTATATATTACCTTTCTAAAGGAACTATTAATTTTAATATCTGTGTTTACTTTAATGCCAGTATAGTGCCTAAAACTGTTTTATACTTAAGTATACAAGTCTAATTGATTATGATATAATGAAAAACTTGATTCATTCTTAACTGAGATGTTAGGGCCAAGTGAGAGAAAGCATGTTGTAGTTAGAAACAGCATTAGATTTGATTTGAGAGGACCAGAGTTTGAGTCTAATCAGTGCTACTTCCTATATCTAAATGACATTGAGCAGGTCACTGAAGTTTGTGAACCACAGTTTCCTCCTCTAAAATGAAAGAGAGTGACTAAGACAAAGGACAAACTCTAAGTCCCGTGATCCTAAGTAGTTTCATAATAAGTAAACAACTTTTCTTATTTCTATTCACTTTTGCATAAGGAGGCCTTTATTCTCCATTTAATAATATCAGGAATTTGAAGTTCCTCTCTCATTTTTGAATTTGAAGTCTTCTGGTATTGCTTCCATATAACAAAAATCCATGTTCAATTAAAGCATTTCTTCATAGCTCATCAAGGTAGGTGTGCAAATATTATTATCTCCATTTTATGTTTGAGAAAACCAAGGCTCAGAAAGGTCCCTTGTGATCACACACAAGGAAATATCTTAATACACAAGTAAGTGGCAGCTAGGTGCTACAGTAGAGAGACTACTGGAGTCAGAGGACGTGATTTTAAATCTGGCCTCAAATACTTAATAGCTTTGTGACCCTGGGTAAGTTGTTTAAGCAATGTCTGCCTCAATTTCCTCAACTGTAAAATGGGGATGATAATGTACCCACCTTCCAGAGTTGTTATGAGAATCAAATGAAATATTTGTAAAGCATATGCCTGAAACTTAGTAATTGATTAATAAATGCTTGTTCCCTTCCCCCTTAAGGTGAAATTTAAGCTCATCCCTCCTGACTGCCAGTCCAGTAATCTTTGTAAATCTCTCAGTAATCTCTGTACTTGAACTGTTTTGGTTTGTGGAGGATTTAAAGCATAAGGCAGAATATCCCTGTCCTTGACAAGCTCACAGTCTCATAGGGGAGACAAGCACATGAAGTAACAAATTATTTTTAATAGTACAAAACAATGTAAAAATGAGTAGAAAATAAGTGACATATGTTGGACTAGCAGTCAAGAAATTTGGGGCTCTAGTCATAAACTATATGACTTTGGCCAGTTCATTAACAACCTCTCCAGACTTCAATTTCATTCTTTTCTAAAGGAGGGAAATAGCTAAACTGAGACTGTTAAAACATAGTATAATAGAAAAAGTGGGAATAAGAGTCTGAGGAATTTAGGTCAAATCCCTTCTTTACCACTATGTGACTTTGGGCAAGTTCACCCCATACCCCTCCACTCAATTTCCTCATCTGTAAAATATTGACATTGGACTCAGTAATCTCTTCGTTTCTTCCCAGCTCTAATCTATGCTCCTTTGATCTTTAAAAGCCCTTCTAGGTCTAAAGTTATCTGATAAATGAGCTCTACCTAATTGTACCTGGGCAGTGTTTTTGTTTTATTCTGACTTAATATATATTGATTTCAAAATAAAAATTAGCCAAAATGAATGGTATAGTTCTGCTCTACGTTTTATTAAAAAAAATTTTGTTCTGAAGTTAAACATCAAAAAGAACATTTTAATGCACACATGAGAACACAAAATAGGATTTTTATGAAATCATGAATCTCCACTTCATACAACTTACTTTTTCAAAAAGTATATACTAAATTTTACGTGTTGCTTTCAAAATTTTCCTGCTTGTGCTTCCTTCTGTTTTGTGCATTTTTTCTTTTTTGTATTTAGTTACCTTTATTTTTGAATTAATAAGGATTTTTCATGAATCTGTCCTTTCCACTAGCCTCCCCTTCCACTGAGCAAATAAAAAAGCCAAAACAAATTCCTCAGTAAATATCTATATAGTCCTACAAAAACAAGTTCCCATATTAGCAGTGTCTAAAAATCTATGTCTCTTTCTGCATTTTAAGCTTATCACCTCTGTGTCAGGATGTGTCATATTTCATCTTCATTTTGTTGGATTCACGGTTTATCATTGTATTGATCAGAGTTCTAAAGTCTTTCAAAGATTTTTTTCTCTATAATAGTTATTATGTAAATTGTTCTAGTTCTGCTTACTTTGCTCTGTATCAGTTCATAAAAGTCTCCCTAGTTTCCTCTGAAATTGACTATTTAATCAACTCCTTAGAGCACAATAACATTCGTGTATCTCAATTTGTTTAGCCATTCCTCCTTAGCTTCCAATTTTTGGCTACCTTACTTCCTTTTTACTTTTCTTATTTCTTTCTGACTTTTCCCTCTGTCACTTTCATTCCAGTCTCCAACTAAGAGGTGGCCTTTCTCCTTGCCAATGCCACCCTCTATTTGTACCCTTGATCTCTCTCGTACTGTCTTTCCAGCAGATTGACCTCACTATGATACCAGACATTGGCCTATCTCTTCTCCACTTTTCAGCTAAACTTGAAAAAAGTCATGTGTACTCAGTGCCTCCACTTCCTCTCCTATCACTTGCTTCTAAACCCTTTGTAGTCTGGCCTCCAGCCTCTTCATTCACCACTCTGCAAATTGCCAAATCTAATGGCCTTTCCTAAGTCCTCTTCAGTCGTGACCTCTTTCCATCCAGCCTTTGACACTATCATCTTCTTCCGAATACTATCTTGTCTGGGTTTTTGTGATATTTACCTCTTGATAAGTATATATAATAATTGTAAAGTGCTTAGCATAGTGCTTGGCACATATAAGCATGATATGTGTGCATGCATGTGTATGTGTGTGTATATATGTGTATATATTTGTGTACATATGTATGTGTGCATACATGTATGTATATGCATTTATACAAATGTGTGTGCATATGTACACACATATGTCTATATATACATATGTGTATATATGATTTCCACATCTGTGTATCTGGCCCTATTTCTCTGTCTCTCTCTCTCTCTCTTTTTTTTTTTGTTGCAAGGCAGCCAAGGTTAAGTGGCTTGCCCATGGTCACACAGCTAATAAGTATCAAATATCTAAGGCCAGATTTGAATTCAGGTCCTCCTTACTCCAGGATCAGTACTCACTCTATCCACTGAGTCATCTAGCTGCCCCCCTTGTCTCTTTTTTAGCGTTAGTGTCTCATCACTAATTTATGAGTAGATATTTCCAATTGGATATCCCAGAATTCATCTTAATCCCCCGAACCTATTTTTCTGTCAAACGTCCCTGTTTCATTCATCCATTTAGTCGCTCAGATTTACAGCTTTGGTACTATCCCCAATTCTTCACTCACCATACTTATCCTGTCAGTTACCAAAAATCATGTAATTTCTTTCTTCACATCTTTTATATGCATCCCATTCTTTCCACTCACACAGCTATCACCCTAGTTCAGGCCTCCTTCTCAACTAGACTATTTCAGTAGCCTTCCATTTGAACTCCCTACCTCAAATCTCTCCCCAAATCAGTCAGTCCTCCGCTAAGCTCCTGAGTGATTTTCCTGAAGTATGAATCTGACCCAGTAACCTCCCTTTCTTCAATTCAATAAACTCCAATGTCTCACTTTTACTTATAGGATCAAATATAAACTCTTTTAGACCAGTGCTGACTATATCATGGTAGATTGGCTACAAGATATTTTATGTATTTCACAGTAACTTTAAATAGATTTTTTTTCCTATATCTTCTGGCAGGATTTTATTAGTAACCTACAGAAAGGTTGGTGATTTTTGTGATTTCATCTTTTATCCTCCTACATTATTAAAATTATAAATTACTTCAACTAACATTTTAGTTGAATGATTAGAATTATCTGAACCATTGTATCATTTACAAATAGTGAGAATTTTGTTACCTATTTACCTATGCTTATTTCAGAACTAGCATTTCTAGAGCTATATGAAATAATAGTGGTGACACTGAACATCCTTGCTTTGCCCTGATCATATTGGAATGGCCTCTAGCAATTCTTCATTACAGAGAATGCTAGCACTTTGGTTTACATATTGAAGATATTAGATATAAGACCTTGTCAAGGAAAGGTCTGTATATTCCTATGCTTTTTTGTGTGTTTTTAATATAAACAAGGGTACTTCTGGCCACAATGGCTTTGAACTCAGGCAGACCAGTTCCACCACACTAGCAAAAACCTGAAATTCACGACATACTAAATAATGATAAAGAAATCCAACAAGAAAACATAATGACTATTTCTACTACAGAACTGCACAAAAAGTTAGCCAGGAGCTCTAGGGCAATAGGAAAAGAGGCTGCTGAAAAGTAGTGCCAGCTCAGTCAAACAAGCCAGCAACTTCCTAGAACAGAGATACATGGCCTACAGGGTTTTATGTCCAGCAGCAGCAAGAGTAAAAGGCTACTAGGAGAAGGGCCCAAGGTGATCAGAAACCTACACTGTGGACTTTGGGAGGCACCAGGAGTGGCAAAAACTAATGTAAGCATTCTCAGAATAGGTTGTACTGGGGTTCCAATATCCCTAGCATTCTAGACCTCAAAGATTTAGGGAGCTTTAATCATGGGAGGTTGAAGGTCAA